TTCTAGAGTAAATAAGAGGGATTCTTTTTTAACTAAACAGGCAAATTAATGCATGATTAAAGAGAATATGCAATTGGTCCTAAACTATTTCCCATCTCCCCTGGTAGTAGACAAGTCTTCTGATACACATAAAAACTTCAGAAATCAAATAACTGAGTGTGATGTAAAATGCTTTGCCTTTGCAGCAGTGTTAAACAGCAATCCATTTGATGGAATCAATCTTAACTTCAGCTTCAAAAATCCAGCCTTCATAAGGTAATTTGAGTATCTAAGATAACAGTTTCTGTCCTTTGGCCCTAAAAAAATAGTTAAATGTGAGGCATTTAGCACATCTTAGTGATAGAGAAGTCTGTTTTCACCCTGTTTCCAAATTGGGATATTATTCCCCTTCTTTTTCCTAGTTCCCTTAGAAGCAGGATGTTCAGGCCATGATTTATTTTAATGAAATTCAGAGAAGAGAATTTTCACATAAAACACTGCCAATATACCCTCTATACCCCTAATTTAAGGATCCCTGTTGCTCACCATAAATATTACTTGGTCACTCCATGATAACAAATTAGACAGCAAAAGCACTTAGAGCTGTACATTAATGCTTCACTCTTTGCAGACTCCAGGGGACCATTTAAAGTACTGCAGTGAGGTGCAGGGGGAGGAGGGAGCTCATGGGAATGAATTGTGAGGTCACTTCCCGGCGGCCCTCCTCCTGTCACTGAGATCACCTGCCATCTCTTTAAGGCTCTTCTAGTCTTTGAGATAAATCTTGACCTTAGTCTTCAGGAATATAAGGGGCTAGAGTGTCTGACCCTGACTCAGGATCCAGTTATCTTACACCTCTAGCTTTGTCTAATGGTGTGCCTAATTATATTCTGTGGGTTTCTTCTATCTTCTTGAAATCAAGTTTCTACCAGTACCCTTGATCTGGGAGCTAGTGGGTCTAGGCCTTGTTCTCTAGTTCCAGAATCTCTGAGAATCTAGAGGCTAAACAGGACAGACCTTGATTTGGATCTCAGCTCTACCACCTTGCCAGCTCTGTTACTTTGGGCAAGTTTCTTGGTTTCTCCAAACCCCAATTTTATTACCTTAAAAATGCAGAATAAAAAATCCCCACCATATACAAAACATAGCATAGCGTATGGCACATAGTAAATGCAAAAAAAAAGTTAATTCCTGCCACTCATATCTTTCGGTTAATTTTTCCTTGATAATCTGAGCAGTGTATTGGAACTTCTTAAATTGGAATTTGTCTTGCTGCTCTGCCAAATCTATGTGGCAGCCCTGAGGGTATGACTCTCTACCTACTGACGTAACTTAGCAACATCTCCTGCCTACTCAAGTGGCTAACTTTGCCCATTTTGACCTCTGTGAGACCCTTGCTCCTTGGGAAACACCTGACTGATATTTTCTTCTTTCCTAATATTCTCTCAGAATGCTATGCTCCATCCTGACTCAACAGCTCCACATCGTGTGAACTTAGATTTGTACCCCAGTGCCTGTCCCACTGCACTGGGTGATTCCACTAATTAATTACTGTCTGGTTCTTCTTATGTACCAGCATTATGCTAAGAACTCTACATTCATTACTGCAAACCCTCACAACACTGCAAGATAGCATTGTCCTCACTTAACAGATGGGGAAACTGAGGCTCTATAAGGTTAAACAATGTTCCCAATTTCACATTCCAGCAAGGAACAGAGCAAGAATGTGAACTCTTATATGTCTGACTTCAAAGTATATAACATTTCTTAAAAACTAGCTCCTTTCTCCCTGTACCACATTTCCCCTCACTACACCAGTATATATAAGTCAACAGATTGCTTCAAAATATTTTTATTTCTGGGATGCCTGGGTGGCTCAGCAGTTGAGTGCCTGCCTTCAGCCCAGGGCATGATCCTGGAATCCCCAGATCGAGTCCCGCATTGGGCTCCCTGTGGGGAGCCTGCTTCTCTCTCTGCCTGTGTCTCTGCCTCTTTCTCTCTGTGTCTTTCATGAATGAATTTAAAAAAATCTTTAAAAAATATTTTTATTTCTTTATTTACTTATTTAAATTCAAGTTAGTTAACAGTGTAGTACTGATTTAAGGAATAGAATTTAGTGATTTATCATTTACTTATAACACCTAGTGCTCAACTCAACAAGTGCTCTCTTGAATCCCCATCACCCATTTAGCCCATCTCCCTACCCACCGTGCCTCCAGCAACCCTGTTTGTTCTCTATAGTCAAGAGTCTCTTATGGTTGGCCTCCTTCTCTGTTTTTATCTTATTTTACTTTTCCTTCCCTTCCCTTAGGTTCATCTGTTTCTTAAAATTCCACATATGAGTGAAATAATAAGATAATTGTCTTTCTCTGACTGACTTATTTCACTCAGCATAATATACTCTGGCTCCATCTACATCATTGCAAATGTCAAGATTTCATTCTTTTTAATGGCTGAGTAATACCCCATTGTATATATATACCACACCTTCTGTATCTATTCATCAGTCAAAGGATGTTTGGGTTCTTTCCGCAGTTTGGCTATAGTGGACATTTCTGCAATAAGCAATGAAGTGGAGGTAACCCTTAAAATCACTATTTTTGTATCTTTTGGATAAATACCTAGTAGTGCAATTGCTGGGTCGTAAAGTAGTTCTATTTTTAACTTTTTGAGGAACTTCAGAAAACAACAGATATTGGTGAGGATGCTGAGAAAGGGGAACCCTTTCACACTGTTGGTGGGAATGCAAACTGGTATAGGCACTCTGGAAAACAGTATGGAGGTTCCTCAAAATGTTTTTTAAATGTTGAAATTCCCAGAGTAATATGCTTCTTGATCAACAAACTTAGCCCTTAAACCTGTGAATATAATTTTTTTGTCTAAATGATAGTAATAGCTAGCACTTATTCATTGCTTATTATGTGTCTGACACTGTTGGATTTATGTATATCAACTTATTTAATCCTATGAGCTGCGTGATATTAACATCCCTGTATTATGGGTTAAGAAACCAGGCAAAGAGAGGTTAGGTAAGTTGCCCAAGATCCCACTGGCAGAGCTGTGTTCAGAATCCAGGTAGTCTAGCTGCAGAGCCCAAGCTCTTAGCACTGCTTCTCTATAATCAAAATAATCGTGTAAATCTACACTTAACTTTACATGTAGGAATAACTTAAGGATCTGATCAATTATTTTGATAACTGAAGCTACCAAAAACCATTTATTGAAAAACAATGAGCACCATGTTGCTTGTGAATCATATTCCCTAATGACTTGCCACACTTTGGTATCAGGCTCTTTTTCTCCATAAAAACTGAAGATACATAATTCTACATATTACTGTATAAGTCTACTTATCTGAAAAGAGCACAATTCAGTATAAAGTAGAATCTTTTTCCAAGAAAATAATTTCTCCTTTCTTAACTATAAATACTATTTTACTCCATTGGATATCACTCTTCAGATTCTGGCAAGAATATAGTATACCAAAACCAGAGTTTATCATCTAAAGCTTGCAGTAAAGTCATTTTTGGAAAAAATTTATATACTATATACCCAAAAATCCCATACATTTTAACGTTCTGGTGTGAACAACGATAATCAATAAAGCATTTGATTTCTAAAAATCAGGCTTGTTTTGTTTTTCCATTGTATGAGTCAGTATCTGGCACATGTAAAGTTAAATGAAGAAAATGAGCTTATAAATCACAGTAATCTCCCTGATAATCACTACTCATTTAGTGAAGGGACAATGTGCTCACTACATGAGGCATTCTTATAAAAGACACCAAGCTGCAATTAACGATCTATAGATCTCATTTGCTCTGAATTAGTAAGTGCCCTGATTCTAATAAATTCTCGATACCTAAGGACCTTATTCTGATTATTTTTATCTCATGTTCCTTGCCCACTGAGAAAGGAAAAGGAAAATGATTTCTTCCCCAAATGCCAGCTGAGTGCATTCTCTTCTCCCTGTTTCTCATACATCTACCCAGAAAGGTATTCCAACCAAAAGAATGTCAGAATACATTTCACTTTTTAAAAAGATTATAATATTCTCCCAAATGTTTTAACCAGAACATATAACTTCTGCAAGAATACTATGAAAAATAATGTTTAAAATATCCTTCGCTAATGAAAACAAATCCTAAAGTTCCCTCTAAATTACAGAGGAAAAATTAAATTGACCTAGCTTTATTATGAAATATTTATATTATGCTACAGAATGTATATCCATATTTCTGAAATATACAAATTACCCGTATGCGAAATAATTCTACATAAACCAGAATGTGATAACTGAAAAGATCCCATTGCGTGGACAGAACATATAATGTAATACTTACTGTTTTATCATTTCTTATCTCATAACAAAACAGATATAATTTCATTATTCTTGGCAGGCATTGGGATCAAAAAATAAATGCAAAGAAGAAAAATCACCCAAGGACTCAAGTTTGAGACATAGAAGAATGAATCTAAAACAGATTTCAGAATACAAACACTCATTAAATCCCAAAAAACCCTCTAATCCACTGCTATTGGTTTTGTCTCAGTCAAGTGCCCTGGGATGAGACACTCAGATTAGAATAATGCAGTAGAGTTTAAAGGTTCCATTTTAAAAAGAAAAAGAGTTTAATGTTTATAAAGATGTGGGCAGGATGAAGTTCCTGTCCTAAGCGTATCCCTCCTTCTTTTAAGCAAGGCTGAGAAAACCCTATGGCTGAGATCAGGCATAGGTCATCCTAATTGTGTAAAGTGTCAGAGCCAAAGTCTTTGAACCAAGAAGAGAACAAGGACTTTCTCAGAACAAAAGGATTCTCTCATCCCAAGTAAGCTCTCAGAGTAGAGGTGTCACTTTGAGAGGGGACCCAAAGACTCAGCCCCTGATAGAGTCTCTAGGTATGTAGACAATAATAACCTGGCTGGAGCCGCGGACGAGGAGCGAGGCCGGCCGCCGGGCACTTCCTGTGGAGGCCGCAGCGGGCGCGGGCGCCGAAGGGCGCGCCGAGCGGCGGCGAGCCTCCCGCCGCCGCCATGGGCCGGAACGACCTGATGGGCACGGCCGAGGACTTCGCCGACCAGTTCCTCCGGGTCACCAAGCAGTACCTGCCACACGTGGCGCGCCTGTGCCTGATCAGCACGTTCCTGGAGGACGGCGTCCGCATGTGGTTCCAGTGGGGCGAGCAGCGCGACTACATCGACACCACGTGGGGCTGTGGCTACGCGCTGGCCTCCGCCTTCGTGTTGCTCAACCTGCTCGGACAGCTGACTGGCTGCATCCTGGTGTTGAGCAGGAACTTCGTACAGTAGGCCTGTTTTGGGCTCTTTGGAATCATAGCACTGCAGACCATTGCTTACAGCATCCTATGGGACTTGAAGTTTTTTTTTTTTTATTTTATTTATTTATGATAGTCACAGAGAGAGAGAGAGAGAGAGAGAGAGAGAGAGAGAGAGAGAGGCAGAGACACAGGCAGAGGGAGAAGCAGGCTCCGTGCACCGGGAGCCCGATGTGGGATTCGATCCTGGGTCTCCATGATCGCGCCCTGGGCCAAAGGCAGGCGCCAAACCGCTGCGCCACCCAGGGATCCCCTGGGACTTGAAGTTTTTGATGAGGAATCTGGCCCTGGGAGGAGGCTTGCTGTTGCTCCTGGCGGAGTCCCGTTCTGAGGGGAAGAGCATGTTCGCAGGGGTCCCCACCATGCGCGAGAGCTCTCCCAAGCAGTACATGCAGCTGGGAGGCCGGGTTCTGCTGGTCTTGATGTTCATGACCCTCCTCCACTTTGATGCCAGCTTCTTCTCGATTCTTCAGAACATCGTGGGCACAGCTCTGATGATTTTAGTGGCCATTGGTTTTAAAACCAAGTTGGCTGCTTTGACTCTTGTCGTCTGGCTGTTTGCCATCAACGTGTATTTCAACGCCTTCTGGACCATTCCTGTCTATAAGCCTATGCACGACTTCCTGAAGTATGACTTCTTCCAGACCATGTCGGGGATTGGAGGCTTGCTCCTGGTGGTGGCCCTGGGCCCCGGGGGCGTCTCCATGGACGAAAAGAAGAAAGAGTGGTAACACACCCCTTCCCTGCCTGGCTGAGACCCGTGGCCATCGAGGACTGGTTCGGGTGGATTCGACAAAACTGCCAGCATTTATGTATCCTCTTCCCTTCTCTCCCTTGGTAAAGGCACAGATGTTTTGAGAATTTATTTGCAGACACCTGAAAATTGATGGTTAAATCTGCTCTGGACCCACACCCTAGTATCCGGCCATTGGGGCTGGCCAGCTGACCGACAGTACCTCCCCCACCAAGGCAAGGCCTCAGCCTCTCAGAGTAAGTGGCCGGCTGGGCTGTGGCCTCAGTTCCTGTTTTGTTTTGCGGGTGGGGGCCTCAAGCTGTACCGTGAGCAGATACATTGGTGTATCATTCAAAGTGGTCTCCCTCTTCTTATTTTTTAAGTTTACAGTAGTGAGAGACGAAGAGGGACACTATATCATACTTAAAGGATCTATCCAACAAGAGGACTTAACAATCCTCAATATATATGCCCCGAATGTGGGAGCTGCCAAATACTTAAACGAATTATTAACCAAGGTGAAGAAATACTTAGATAATAATACACTTATACTTGGTGACTTCAATCTAGCTCTTTCTACCCTTGATAGGTCTTCTAAACACAACATCTCCAAAGAAACGAGAGCTTTAAATGATACACAGGACCAGATAGATTTCACAGATATCTACAGAACTTTACATCCTAACTCAACTGAATACACATTCTTCTCAAGTGCACATGGAACTTTTTCCAGAATAGACCACATACTGGGTCACAAATCAGGTCTGAACTGATACCAAAAGATCGGGATCGTCCCCTGCATATTCTCAGACCATAACGCCTTGAAATTAGAACTCAATCACAAGAAGAAGTTTGGAAGGACCTCAAACACGTGGAGGTTAAGGACCATCCTGCTAAAAGATAAAAGGGTCAACCAGGAAATTAAGGAAGAATTAAAAAGATTCATGGAAACTAATGAGAATGAAGATACAACTGTTCAAAATCTTTGGGATGCAGCAAAAGCAGTCCTGAGGGGGAAATACATCGCAGTACAAGCATCCATTCAAAAACTGGAAAGAACTCAAATACAAAAGCTAACCTTACACATAAAGGAGCTAGAGAAGAAGCAGCAAATCGACCCGACGCCCAGCAGAAGAAAAGAGTTAATTAAAATTCGAGCAGAAATCAACGAAATTGAGACCAGAAGAACTGTGGAACAGATAAATAGAACCAGGAGTTGGTTCTTTGAAAGAATTAATAAGATAGATAAACCATTAGCCAACCTTATTAAAAAGAAGAGAGAGAAGACTCAAATTAATAAAATCATGAATGAGAAAGGAGAGATCACTACCAACACCAAGGAAATACAAACGATTTTAAAAACATATTATGAACAGCTCTACGCCAATAAATTAGGCAATCTAGAAGAAATGGACGCATTCCTGGAAAGCCACAAACTACCAAAACTGGAACAGGAAGAAATAGAAAACCTGAACAGGCCAATAACCAGGGAGGAAATTGAAGAAGTCATCAAAAACCTCCCAAGACACAAGAGTCCAGGGCCAGATGGCTTCCCAGGGGAATTCTATCAAACGTTTAAAGAAGAAATCATACCTGTTCTACTAAAGCTGTTTGGAAAGATAGAAAGAGATGGAGTACTTCCAAATTCATTCTATGAGGCCAGCATCACCTTAATTCCAAAACCAGACAAAGACCCCACCAAAAAGGAGAATTACAGACCAATATCCCTGATGAACATGGATGCAAAAATTCTCAACAAGATACTAGCCAATAGGATCCAACAACACATTAAGAAAATTATTCACCATGACCAAGTAGGATTTATCCCCGGGACACAAGGCTGGTTCAACACTCGTAAAACAATCAATGTGATTCATCATATCAGCAAGAGAAAAACCAAGAACCATATGATCCTCTCATTAGATGCAGAGAAAGCATTTGACAAAATACAGCATCCATTCCTGATCAAAACTCTTCAGAGTGTAGGGATAGAGGGAACTTTCCTCGACATCTTAAAAGCCATCTACGAAAAGCCCACAGCAAATATCATTCTCAATGGGGAAGCACTGGGAGCCTTTCCCCTAAGATCAGGAACCAGACAGGGATGTCCACTCTCACCACTGCTATTCAACATAGTATTGGAAGTCCTAGCCTCAGCAATCAGACAACAAAAAGACATTAAAGGCATTCAAATTGGCAAAGAAGAAGTCAAACTCTCCCTCTTCGCCGATGACATGATACTCTACATAGAAAACCCAAAAGCCTCCACCCCAAGATTGCTAGAACTCATACAGCAATTTGGTAGCGTGGCAGGATACAAAATCAATGCCCAGAAATCAATGGCATTCCTATACACTAACAATGAGACTGAAGAAAGAGAAATTAAGGAGTCAATCCCATTTACAATTGCACCCAAAAGCATAAGATACCTAGGAATAAACCTAACCAAAGAGGTAAAGGATCTATACCCTAAAAACTATAGAACACTTCTGAAAGAAATTGAGGAAGACACAAAGAGATGGAAAAATATTCCATGCTCATGGATTGGCAGAATTAATATTGTGAAAATGTCAATGTTACCCAGGGCAATTTACACGTTCAATGCAATCCCTATCAAAATACCATGGACTTAAAAAAAAAATACCATGGACTTTCTTCAGAGACTTAGAACAAATTATTTTAAGATTTGTGTGGAATCAGAAAAGACCCCGAATAGCCAGGGGAATTTTAAAAAGAAAACCATATCTGGGGGCATCACAATGCCAGATTTCAGGTTGTACTACAAAGCTGTGGTCATCAAGACAGTGTGGTACTGGCACAAAAAGAGACACATAGACCAACGGAACAGAATAGAGAACCCAGAAATGGACCCTGAACTTTATGGTCAACTAATATTCGACAAAGGAGGAAAGACGATCCACTGGAAGAAAGACAGTCTCTTCAATAAATGGTGCTGGGAAAATTGGACATCCACATGCAGAAGAATGAAACTAGACCACTCTCTTGCACCATACACAAAGATAAACTCAAAATGGATGAAAGATCTAAATGTGAGACAAGACTCCATCAAAATCCTAGAGGAGAACACAGGCAACACCCTTTTTGAACTTGGCCACAGTAACTTCTTGCAAGATACATCCACGAAAGCAAAAGAAACAAAAGCAAAAATGAACTATTGGGACTTCATCAAGATAAGAAGCTTTTGCACAGCAAAGGATACAGTCAACAGAACTAAAAGACAACCTACAGAATGGGAGAAGATATTTGCAAATAACATATCAGATAAAGGGCTAGTTTCCAAGATCTATAAAGAACTTATTAAACTCAACACCAAAGAAACAAACAATCCAATCATGAAATGGGCAAAAGACATGAAGAGAAATCTCACAGAGGAAGACATAGACATGGCCAACATGCACATGAGAAAATGCTCTGCATCACTTGCCATCAGGGAAATACAAATCAAAACCACAATGAGATACCACCTCACACCAGTGAGAATGGGGAAAATTAACAAGGCAGGAAACCACAAATGTTGGAGAGGATGCGGAGAAAAGGGAACCCTCTTACACTGTTGGTGGGAATGTGAACTGGTGCAGCCACTCTGGAAAACTGTGTGGAGGTTCCTCAAAGAATTAAAAATAGACCTGCCCTACGACCCAGCAATTGCACTGTTAGGGATTTACCCCAAAGATTCAGTTGCAATGAAACGCCGGGACACCTGCACCCCGATGTTTCTAGCAGCCATGTCCACAATAGCCAAACTGTGGAAGGAGCCTCGGTGCCCATCGAAAGATGAATGGATAAAGAAGCTGTGGTCTATGTATACAATGGAATATTCCTCAGCCATTAGAAACGACAAATACCCACCATTTGCTTCAACGTGGATGGAACTGGAGGGTATTATGCTGAGTGAAGTAAGTCAATCGGAGAAGGACAAACAGTGTATGTTCTCATTCATTTGGGGAATATGAATAATAGTGAAGGGGAATATAAGGGAAGGGAGAAGAAATGTGTGGGAGATATCAGAAAGGGAGACAGAACATAAAGACTCCTAACTCTGGGAAATGAACTAGGGGTGGTGGAAGGGGAGGAGGGCGGGGGGTGGGGGTGAATGGGTGACGGGCACGGAGGGGGACACTTGACGGGATGAGCACTGGGTGTTATTCTGTATGTTGGTAAATTGAACACCAATAAATTTAATTTATTTAAAAAAAGACAATAATAACCTGTGCCCAATGATGAGGGTCTCTAACCTAGCACATTTCAGCACAGAGCTGTGGAAGTTGGGGAAGCAGAATCATCATGCAGGAAGGTAACTTAGTCTTAGACTGACGCATGAAGGAAAGAGATGAGAAGATCATACCTCAAACATCAGGAAAGCTGCTGTGAAAAGCCCTTCCTACCAGGACGTGTGACATCAGAACACATTCTTTGTATCTCCTGAAGGCAGGGGATCCTGAAAGGTATTTCTGTTACCATAACCTACCAGTTACATTAGAAATGTATCTGCCAAGAAAATCAAGAGAACCCATGTTTTCGGTGAGAAGTGAACTCACATCATAATAAAAATAATTCAAGTTTTCAATCCCAAATTAAAAACACACTTTTCCCCTGCCTTCTCAAGTAAAGTATTAATTAATACTCATGTGATGTACTATGAAACACATGAAGTTTCTATCTCCTTTGGGATTTGCTTTCTCCCACCAATATAGAAAATAAATGGTCACCTCTTGCCCCTGCCATTTTTTTCTGTCTTTTTAAAAAATATATTTTATTTATTTATTCATGAGATACACACACACACAGGCAGAGACATAGGCAGAGGGAGAAGCAGGCTCCATGCAGGGAGCCCCATACAGGACCTGATCCCAGAACTCCGGGATCACGCCCTGAGCCAAAGGCAGACGCTCAACCGCTGAGCCACCCAGGCATCCCTTGTTTTTTTGTCTTTATCAGCCTTCTACTCACCTTCTAGTTTAGGCTTTTCATTTGCTATCTTCAGAGACAACATATAAGGAAACATGTTGAGAACTGCATATTTAAATACATAAATATCTGAATGTTTGATGTTTATTGTGTCGTTACTCATTCTGTTTTCATTATTTGATTCCTTGTTTAAGAGTTTTTAA